GTCGCTCTTCGAGACTTCGTCTAGACCACAGTTCCCATATGACGAAAAAGGAAAGCGTCCAGCGAAGGAGGATGTATATGTGGTATATGCACTAAGGGATACATGAATATGCATAGTCTCTCTGGATAAACTCCAAGCACACAGATAGTACACTTCTTTTTTTTTCCAACGAAACCATGAATCCCCTTCATCCATCGTGGCCACCCGGTATCCATACGATCCTAGCTCATCGATACTACAAACCATCAGTTTTTCCCTCTTCCTCTCCTTCAACCCCCTTCTCCCTTATCATCCCACGAACAAGAACATACCTTGACAAACCCAATATCCTGCGCCTTCTCCCGAAAAGCCTGGCGACTCATGTTGAGCCCGTATTTGCGGATGATGCCGGATTTCTTCCTCGAGCCCGTAACAACACTGCACGCATCATCCTTCATTAGCATTTCTCGTCGTCCAAACCAGAGTGAGTGAGTTGAGGAAGTGCAGTGTGATTGGGAGGATGAGGGAGATAAGTACCAGCCGATTGATCCTTTACCGTAGGTGCGGGGGCGCGAGTACCAGACGGATTCGTGGGACATGTTTGCTGTATTGCGTTTACTTTCACGTTTTTTTGTGGTGTTGGCAAGACAAAAGGATATTGTGTTTTCACAGTTTGGATATGGGAATTTCAGATTCTATTGTGCGTGTGGCGGTTGCAGTGACATGTGGTTGGTGCATGGTGGTGGTGAGGACCTTGTTGGTCGACGGTTGATATCAAGGTACTCTCGAGGTGAGGGGGAGGGGAGGCATGTTTGGTTTGGTGGGATGAAAAAATTTGGATGGGAATATGGGAATTTGGGCTTGGAGGGAATGATGATACTGGTTTACGAAAGGGAGGTGTGGAAAGTAGGTTGGGTGTTGGGCTTGGACTTCATGGGAACACAAAGCTGATTTGTTAGTTTCTCAGGTCAACAATGAAGTCTCGGATACTTTGGACTTTAACAGTGCGACTGATGAGACAGCATCGCTACACTCGACCCTATTTTATCTGAGTTCTGTTTCTTCAACGTTCGGGGATTTCTAGTAGGTTTCTGCTTGGTGTTGTGTATTAGTGTAGTACCTAGGCGTGCCAGGCAGCCAACCAACCAGCTCGCCCTACTATCCACCCTGTTTCAACTAATCGCATAAGCCAAAGTCAATTTTCACACCATATGCAGTTCATCACACCAATCTGAGAATACATTGGTCCACGAATTCCAAGTCTGTGAACACCTCTAGATCTTCTCGAGGCGAGAGAATCCGCATACCGGCGCTTGTACCTGCATCGTTGGTAACCAATACTAATTTACAGCCTCTTCAGCTGAAACTCAAAACAGCCACATTGCAGACGACCAAGATGCAAACGGAAAGACAAAAGGCATCTCGTGCATCCACTGCACACCGCTCGACCATGTCTTCTCAGCCCAGCGACACGCCTCGCACACCGACTTCAGTGGGGACAGTACTTACGTCGACGGCGAAGTGGTTGTCGAGCAACTTGTAACACACCGACTATGATCAGGGATCATCGTATCATACATGCTATCTACCTGAATGCAACTGCCTAAAGAGGAAATCTTCATTACAAACTGTTAATCTTGACGTTCCGCGTCTTGCAGTTCCCCGGACACACCAACCTAGTATTTTGACGGCCGATCACGAACATTCCATGATCCGGAGAATTATTCTACCAGCTATATGTAGGGTTTTAGCGAGTCAAGAATATCGATGGTGACGTCCTCGGTACAGCCCCGGTGTATCATCGTATGAATGAAAATGACATGAACTGCGCGCAGCTCAACAATGTCTTTGCCAAAGTTGGTGAAGCGCCAGGCCACGCAATGATGGTTGTGCATAGGTAGGGAAGGCCATGGCAGCAAAAGAGTTCACGGAGCAAGCCAGCAAGCTAGTCGACGATTGTGCTTCTTTAGCGTCGGTAAGCTGCGGTAGGTGTTGGAAGCGCACCGGCTATATGCTTACTTGTTTCATTATAGCAAAGTACGTCAGCACCGGTACGAAGGAGAGAAAGACAACAACGGGCAAAACGTTGCGCTATGATACCGCCGGTACATGAGCGCTGTGGCTTGGAGACGTCCGTCCGGCGCCCGTCCAGTTATTCTCGGATACGGGAGCCGGTGCCTGCAAAAGTCGGGACCACGGAAGAGAGCATGCGTGCTGCATGTGCGTGCTGTGTGTTTGGACCAACAACCGAACGTCTTCCAGACCCGGAGAGCACAGTGCGCCAGGGCTTATCTGCCATTACTACTAACCATGAATCGCCAATCTTCACGTGCGGGCGGGTTCTGTTACATTTGCCTGCGATTCGCGATCGATCGTTGGACGGAAGTCTCTTTCAGGCACCACCATGCTTGTGTTGGCGGTGGGGACCTCTTCTGGGCTCTCTTACTAACTCTTAGCAACTCTCTTGCGTACGTACGTCCGCACTTGCAAGCGCGCGCCGCCCAACTGCCCAGCCCGCTACAAGCAGTGCCAACACAGAGCGATGGAGATTCCCTCTCGGAGGCAACACCTCAACTAAGCAGTACCTAAAAAAATTGTCCGCACCAGGCCGCCCATGTGGCATACGTACATGGCCCCAAAAAAAGACTGCAAGCCCAAAGCAATCAAAGCAATAGGAAGCCTAACTGTCGCCCCCCTCTCCACTTTCTTTCGCGGCTGAATTCGCATACACTGACCCACAATAACCAACAACTTCTTCAAATAAAAAAAACCCCTCTAGAAAAAAAAAGCGACTCAGAAGAGGAAGACTCGTAGAAAGTCCAGAACACGCGAACCTGGCTCTTGATAACAACAAAACAGACCCACCCCGCCGCGAAAACACCGAACCCGATAATAACACAAACCCACCTCCCACCCATGAGCATGAGAAAAAAATCATGTTGATAACCAGCAGCCGGCAGCGGGCGGCCCTAACCGGGCGGCGCATCCATACAGAACAACACACGCAGAGGACAACCCCGGGCGGGAAATTACGATGTGCGCCTCGCACCTCCGAATACGTCTTTGTTGTGAATACCATATAATATTCCAATATTTTCAAGGTCATCTCTCATCTTGCGAGTCCTATAATAGAGCAGCTGATAACGTATCACCATGTATTAAACGAGATTTCAACAAAAAACTGCGGTAATGTCGGGGAAGCGACCAAAAAAGGCGGGATAATTGATCATGGATGAGGATGGGGGGGGGCGTGTGGAAGCGAGACGAGGCAATGCCGTTGCGGAATTCTTTTTTCGCGCTTCCCCGGTTGGAATCGTTGGAACCAACCCCATTCTTTTCTTTTTCTTTTCTTTCTTGATGCGGAACTCCACATTGCCCACACATACACGTGTCGCCGATTGCCCACTTCTTCGCAGCCCCCAGGTGGGGAGGAAAAAGAGAAGGAATCACGCACCAAACTTGCCTCTTTGTCTGGTCTCCGTAAAAAAAAACCCTCGGCTTGTCCGGCAAAGAGCCCATAGATACCGTGACGACACGATAACGATTGTAGTTAGCTAGTTAGTAAAGCGATGTTTGGGATTTTGTCTGGTGAGCAGCAAAAGGGAAGGTTGCGCATTGCTGCGATGCAGAATGCCGAGAGAGTCCCCTCTCTTTGGTATCGCCACAGCTAGCATCGGTGTATCGTACAGAACACAGAGCGCAGAAAGAAAGAAACAGATACGAGCGATGGCTGTCGCCGCCGCCATGCCAACTCGCCCACATGTCAACTGAGGCGGTGCGCAACATCCAAAGTTTAATTCTCTCACACACACTCTCTCTCAACCCGCCGCGTCCCTTTTCGTCCATCAGCTACCTGCCCTACTATCAAAGCGTGCGTACTACTAAGCACGCACATCAATGACAATCCTGTTCCTGGATAAGTAAGTAACCAAAAAAACCCCCCTCCCTCGCCGACAACCTCAACATGGCGTTAAATCAACAAAATAGAGCGTGAGCGAGCGCCCCAGCCCAGCCCAGCCCAGCGCCAGCGATGTGCGTAATCTAGAATTTCCTTGAATCGAAGGCAGAGGCGAAGGCGAATGGCGAAGGGGAAGGGGGGGGAGGGAGGGGGCCGGCCCTAAGCTTTGACCGTGTGGAAAACGGGAAAAGCCCAAAAGTCCGCACTAGAGAAGCCAGGAACGCGTACTTGGCAGGCACACACACACACCATGGGCGCAGGTACCAGGGGGGGTTGCTGCACGCAGCCCGAATACGAGGGGGGAGGGGGGGAGTCTTGCAGATTTGCCGGGGGAAGGGGAAAGTGTCATCTCCGTTGAGTGCGCTGACTGGAGACGAGTGTGGCCCCCCCCTCTCCCCTCCCTTCACTCTTCGTGTCTGTCAGCTGCGACATTTTTTTTGTGGTTCGTTGGTGCTGCTTTGTCCGGTGGTCTTTTTTGTTGTCTTGCCTGTGTAATTGTTTTGGGGGACCTCTTTGTTGGGTCCAGGAACAAGGGAAAAGGAGATCGGCGGCGTGGCGCACAGCCGCAGGGGAGTAAAGTTTGGTCCTAACTGCATGTAAACGTTAGAGCCGCTGAAGTCGTGTGCGCTGGTTGGTTAGTAGTCGGCTAGAAAGCTGGGCACGAAAAGGGTCCATAGCTTGTCTGTTGTTAATATCACCTTATACACGAATAGGGCCATGCAACACACGCGAGAAAAAAAAAAGGCAAAAACAAAGGGTTGGCTCGTGAATTCGTAAATCTGTAATTCGCAGTAGATACTAAGAGAGAGTTAAAAACGCTTGCAAGTACTGCGCCCCTAGTGTGAAGCAGGGAATGATAAGCCAGACGAAGTACCATATACAGATACAAAGGAGAAGAGAAAATATTGTTCCGAACCAGCGCGATTGATATAAAGCTACGCGTTGCGTGTTGTTTGGGTCTCCAAGCCGCCCTGTCACCTAAAGTAGAATAGAATCGAAGAACCACCCAAGAAGAGGCATTAAAATCCCCTTCTCTTTTGTCTCATGAAAGGCATCATGCTGCTTAAGCGAGATCGCAGCACCAGATACCCTCCCTGTTGCTGCAACCAATCTTGGAGTAGTTGGGCGAGGTGAGGATCTCGGCGTGGCCAGTCTGGCCCTGGTAGTCCCAGCCCTTGGAGAACTGCGCGCAGGCATCGCCGAGGCCGGGGAGGTTGGCCATCTCGCAGAGCCATCCACCGACGAAGACGTACTCGAACTTGTCGGCGTCGCCGGGGGCGAGGACCTGGCCAAAGGTGCCCTTGTTGAGCTTGTGCACCATTTTACCGTTACCCTCAATGACGACATCGAGAGCGTTGGACTCGAGCTCAGCGGAGAACTCGAGCGCGCTGAGGCCGAGCTTGGCACGCCACTCAGCGACTACATCCATGTAGCCTCCAGTGGAAGGAGCTGGGGAGGGAGAAGGCGAGGGGGTAGGGGTAGGAGTTGGCTCTGGAGCAGGAGCAGGAGTGGGAGTAGGGGTGGACTCGGGCTCAACTGGTGCCTCGGGGTAGGGGCTGGGAGTAGCCTCGACGTAGACAACAGATGAGAAGGTGGAGGGAGCGGGAGCGGGCTGCTCAGCTGGGTAGGCCTCAGGAGAGGGAGTAGCAGCTGGGGCGGGAGTAGCAGCAGGAGTGGATGAGGGGCATGGGGTGGCCTCGGGGGAGCCCTCGGTGACGTAGACGGTGTGGACTACGTGCTCGACGACAACCTCAACGTTGGGGTTGGCAGCGGGAGCAGGCTGGTCGGCCGGGTAAGCAGCTGGGTAAGCGGCCGGGTACGAGGGAGCGGCGAGCGCAGAGCCAGCGAGGGCGGCGATGGAGATGGCGATGGAGGAGCGCATGTTTGTAGATTTGTGTGATTTGGATTTGACTGAATAGGTCTGAACTTGGGGGGAATTGACAAAAAGGGTTCGACGGTCGACGGGTTTTTGGTTATATGTTTGCGAAGAGAGCGTGGTTATGCCGTATGGCGGTAGAGAACGTGGTGTCAAAGACTGACAATGTATGTAGACTGAAAGACTGGCGTCGAACCTGGAAGTCGCAGACCTGGGGTATCAAAGGAAGGGCTGTTATAGTGAGGGGATAGACTACATTTATACAACATGGCGCTAAGGAAGCGAACGGGCGCTGTGCAGCGGGTATGGGCCTGGAAATGAGAACGAGCGCCATCGCAGGTCCGCCCATGGCCCCGTCCCCTCCGCAGATTTGCCAATGCCTGGAGCTAGAGCGTCTTAGGCGGGTCTTTGCTGCCAACCTCGCCGCTCGGATCCTTTCATTTCACCATCCCCTAGAGCGACCTAAGACCACGCGGGTGACCAGGGGGGTTTTGGAGTCCGATGCACCGCGCACCAGTATTGGCTGACAGGGCTAAACCTCGTGTCTCCGTCAAGCGCTTTTCTTACAGCAGCTGCAGGTCATCCGCGTCACACGGCAGACAAGAGTGGTTTTGTCTTGTATTCGCTTTGCTTGCCTGGCGCTTCGAGAGTGATTGTCGACGTCGCGGCTGGACATGGCCAAGGTCAGGGGTAGCACGTCCAATGATTGGGCTGGGCGCACTGGGCTCTCATAAAACCACCCGCCATGGCATTCCAGGCTGAAGACTAGCCCAGGAGCGGCAAGACGTAGACACGGTTGCCAGTGCGCACGTGTCCCCTGGCGGGTAGGGGTGTTCTCACCGGGCTACGTTTCAGATATTTCCTTAGTCTCCTCACACAGCTGTGGCTTGCTCGCCTGGCCTTCGTACAGAAACTTTGTGCACCGGGGCGCAGAAACAGATAGCTCGGCCGCCGGCGGTGCACAGTTGCTCCGTTCCTTTGACCCAAAACAGTCGACAATGAGGCTTTTGTTCTGGCAGTTTGAAGATTCGAGACTGGCGAAGCAAGTGTTGTCCAAGGGAGGGGTTATGGCGACTAATCGCAGACGGGAGGGTCTAGTTACGAAACAACGGATAGAAGAAAAAACCAACGTAGATCCCGTTTGTAACGCTCAACCATGAAGGAGGGGAAACATGCAGGCTTCCCGCCACAGCAGCATCCTCCCGCCACGGCAGTGGATCGTGTGGTCGTGGGCGACACCCGCCATCGTCAGCGTCTCATGGTACTCGTGTTCCGAGGCGTCCCCCTGTATCACCAACCGTTTTCTTATGCCTAGACACCTGCCTCATCCGAGTGCACTTGGGCATCTGAGCCGGCCTATTGAGGTTTTTCTGTTTGGCATTGGCCACCGAGCATGAGTACTCGTATGTGCAATGAGTATGCACGGGCTGAGCTTGACGAGCGGCATTGTAAGCAATCATCCGGCGGCCGGGGTTTAAATTTCTCGTTATTTCTCTACTGCTAGTTTTGCTCTAACGCGATATGTTACAAAATTACCGCTGCAAGTAATGAGGGTATAGCGGAGAGGCGCCTTAATCCTGTCCAATTTCTCGCCCGCTCTGTTGCGTCACCAGTCTGTTTGTTTGTACTCGGACTAGCATCAGATGAAGCGCCAACTGCGTCCCGATCCTCAGGCCACAAGCTGGAGTGAAACGTAACGTTGTGGTCTGGATGCATTCGAGGCCGCATGTCTTGCGCGTCCATTCCACAATATTGCGAAGTCGGAGAAGAGCCTGACTGCAATACTACCTCACCTGGCCCACCGCATCTGCAGTCAAAGGCCTTGTTGATTAGACTTGGGAAAGATACTTAAGGACCTGTCACATTTGTATAGCGTCGCCATTGGGATGCGCCGCTCTTTTGTTGGTCTCGAGCTATATGTCCCTTTGTCAAAATGTTGCTTTGTCAAGTCCCATTGTCCGCCACGAACACTCCGAACATGTCCACGCATACATGCCGCATCCGTTGCCGCCGCGTATGTGAACATGTTTCCCCGCTTCCGCGGCAAACGGGAGGATTGTAGCAGATTCTTTGCGCGGATGCAAGATGCTTACGCAGCAGATGGCGCTGATCGCCGAACGCCATGGATATCAGACAAACGTGGAGAAGAAAAACTCCTATCGATTAGATAGCTGGCTGGCGTGGCGCATCCTCACTGACCGGCGCCATGGTGCAGCGCGTAAATACGGCTCTGGCTCGGTATGCGTGCCGGCGTGGTTGACAGGTTCTCCGTGTCTTATCTTGTTTCACACGCATTCGGTCCTTGGGGAAGCGGTCCTAGGCTCGACTGGCTGCGTAAGTAAGTAGGCTGCATGCGGTGACATCAGGTCTTGCTCAAAAGGCCAAGAGGCGGTGCATTCAGCCCGTCGCGGAACTCGCACTATGACGCGTGCAGCCCGGCCCAGACTGGGGACGTGGACCACGAAAATTCTCTGCTCTCCATCCGGCTCCGCAGTCGAGTGTTGATTCATCTGCCGCCCAATGGGCTTGCTCGTGGGGTTGCAAGGGCGTCTAGCATCCGCCGACAGGTAGGTAGTAGTTGGGTAGGTATGCCGCTGATGACACCTCAGACGCCGCCGACGCAGTGGGCTTCGACTTGGAGCCTCATTTAAATATGTAGCTGCAGAACAGCAAGTACGTGGCATGGGACAGCGAGGAAACAAAAGCGATAAGAAACCGGATGGGGGAAAAATGCAAAAGATGTTGACCTCTGCAGGCGAATGGCGAATGGCGACGACGGCTGGTTGCAGCTGGATGGTGGCTTGGCATGTCCAGGCCAGGTACCGTGTGCCTGCCGCGCCAGGTACCCGGACACCCGTTCACGCATCCTGCGCCCCCAACGGCTGCAACAAGGCCATCATTCAGGTACGTGGCAAATCCACGCCCGAGTCCAGTCACCGCTCCCCCGAACTGCCCCGCTCGACAATATTGATAATATCGATAATATTCCCGCATACATGCTGCCTACCATGGCTTTTTTCCTTCGCTAGCAACGTGGACAGGTCTGCGTGGCTCTTCACCCAGACCCTCTCGACCACCAAGCCAGAATTCCAATTTGCCTTGCATACTCCAAGTCCGGCTCACGACGCTACACCACCGGGCGCTGTAATCCCTACATCATCACCTGGGCACCTCTAGTCCTGCTGCTAGTACCGTGTAGCTCCAGGGCATACACAGGGCATGCAGCTAGGCTAGCACAAATCGGGCGATATAAACCCTCGCCCGTAAACTGCCCGACATTTCCACTCATTGAGTTTGCCGGGAAGAAGGGATCCGTTTTCCCAAGGGAAGAGACCCTGAATGCCATCAAGAAGAAAAATATTTCGGTAGGCCAGGCCCAGCTGAGCATAGCCACGACACATTCCACTTGTTCCTTGCTTTAGTTCGCGCCACCAGTACAAAGGTACCATCAGATGAAAAAGAAACATGCGAAAAACCGGAACCCAAGATTCTAGGCCCACGCATCTCCTTACATCATACGTCTAGGCTAAGTGCCACCACCCTGGTACCTGACCAACCACAGCCCTACAATGCTGTCTCCACTGTCCACGTTGAAGCGCTGAAAGCACTACTGCACCGCGAAAACGCTTCCGCTGCCGCCGTCGCCGGACTTGGACAAAGTTTTTTCTCTGCCCTCAACGTTTCACGTAATTCGTGGGTGCTGCCTAAGGTGGAGGGGCTCACTGAGTATTGGGTGGGCTGAAGCTAGTCTTAGTCTAATCCTTCGCCATAGATACTTTCCTTTATAAAAGAGGGATGATTGCCAGAGAATCTTACCCTTTGAAATCACCAACACTGTTCAACATTCTTTTCCCCCGTCGCCTTCGGCAACACATTCCTTGTTCTCCCAAGAGGCTTTGACAGCTTCCCTTACAGTCCCTCCGGCAAACCAGCGAAAAAAAAATCCCACACTCTCTTCTTCAACCCGAAGACCCACATATCAGCACTCATTCGTCCTCCGCTTCGATCACGAAACAGGATATCCTTTGAGTTGATCTCTCCCTCACTCACACACACACACATATTCCACGTGACCTCAACCCACCCAAAACCCCTCACCATGTTCTCCAAGACCACCCTCCTCATGGCCCTCAACGCCGGCCTCACCCTCGCCGGCAACGCCATCCTCACCAACCGCTGCTCCTACGACATCTGGGTCTCTTCGGTCGGCGGCTCCCACCAAACCCCCTGCACCCTCGTGCCAGCGCGCACCCAATACACCGAGGTCCTCTACAACACAGGCACCTCTCTCAAGATCTCCTCCAGCGACAGCATCAAGAACGGCGAGCACACCCAATTCGAGTACTCCATCGCCGGCGGAAAGATCTGGTACGACATCTCCTTTGTCAACTGCGCCGAGGGCGAGTCCGCCTCTGCCTGCCCTGGCCACGCTGAGGGTTTGTCGATGCGCGGCTCCGATGATCAGTGCAGCTCTGCGGACTGCGCCGCTGGTGATTACTGCCCTACTCAGGCCTACTATGTTGATACGCCGCTCATTAAGCTGGGGCTCAAGGAGCCCGTGTTCGACTGCCCATCTACCGATGTTGATCTCCACATGACTGTTTGCTCTGGCGAGGACTCGCTCAAGAGGAGTGTGGCTGGCCGTGTCGCTATTGACCTTGAGGGTCAGAACTAGATGGGGCCAGATGATAGAACGCGCATCGGTGATGCTTGCGGCGTTGACGCTTTTGTTTTTTATTTCTTCTTCTTCTCGATCGCTTCTTGTTTCTTCGATTCTACCATGATATATATTAGGGCTAGACAGGGTCTGAGCGTGGTTTGATTACCACTCAGCATGCTTTGCGGGATTGTATGATTTTTTTTTGAAAGTGGGGGGGAAGGAATTCACGACAGTATACGATTTGATTATGATATGACCTGGAAAAATTCAGAAAATCTTCATCTTTTGCTGGTTTGCAAATGAACTTTCAACTCTTTCTCTCCACATGCTTTGTGACTTCGTATGCCTTGTGTAACCTCGGTGTACGATCTCACCTTCATATTCACCCTGCACATACTTGAACTTATCGCAATTACCACACCACTTCCATCCCTCTCTTCTCTCGATACATAATCACCAGATCCCCTACCACGGTAACCGCGCCCTCGAACCCCCACCCCTTTTTTCCTTTTTTTCCCCTTACCTGCATAACAGCTGAACCACACACGCTCCCCTCCCAAAAAGCAATCAATACCCACTAATCCGTGTGTTTTTTTTACTTCTTACACCTGCATTTTTTTTGGCGGCGCCGCGTAATCTCTCAAGACTAAGTAAGCAACTTTCCCTGCAATCTTATCAAGCGAGACGTTGTACTTGTGGCGGGGAAATGCGTTCTGCGGATTGGTTGGGGGTCCTACGCGCGCAATTTCCCGGGTTGTGTCTCGGATAGCGAGGGGGATGTGTTGGCGGGTGGCGCTGAGGTATCGGGAGGAGGGGGTGAGAGGTGCTTGGGGGTGGGGGGTTTTTTGGGAGAGGGGTAGGTGGGATTGTGATGGCAAGTGATGTTGTTGTGATTGAAGGAGGGTGGGAGGGTGTTTGGGAAGTGCCGTTTTCTGTATGAGTACGGACGGCCTAGTAATGATTTCGATGAGTGGAATCGCAATGTGTGTCGGTGGGTTTGCTGCTGAAATTTTTCTTCGAGTGATGGTTGGGCTAATGTTCATGATCCCGTCGTTGTTTAGAGATGGGTTGGAAGACTCATAGTTGGAGTAACTGGTGGTCGGCCATTCGTAGCTCCTTCTTTTCTCTATTCGACCAGGGTATCGTGTTTACAGAAAACTCTATTATAGTGACTACATCAAGAAGGAACTCACCGTAAGCGTTAGTGACGAAAACGGGCCACGAGGTGGTACTGCACGCTTGACCACTGCTGGCACCTTTGGGCTAATGCGATAACTTAGATTGAGAAGTGAAACATGTATACATGTGTCGAGATGTTTTTGCAAATACTGATTGTAACACTGAGCAACACGATTATTCTCTTTCTGGAAGAAATCATATACTTGTTCGTTAAGGAGCACTCTTGCTTCATGAGATACTTGTCCTAGAGTACACCTATGGCTTACAGAAATGCCGATCTATGAGGCGTGTAATTTCCTGAATACTTGAAGGAAGGCCTTCGGATTTTGAATTCACGCTTGAAGTCAAGTTAGAGTAGGCGGATACGAGTGCCAAGGGGATGGCTGTCCCATTCAACCTCCCCAAGCAATGTTACATCAGGAGACTATAACTGTAAGAGTAAGGATAGATAAACTACAAAGAGGAAGGCGACTTCTGGAACTAAAGGCCGAGATTCTGCAAGATCATGCACGCTTGGCCGAATAAGGAGGCGTGGAAGTGATAATCATCGAATTTCCAATGCCCAGGATGGAGCAAAGGACTTGATATGGCAACGCAACAAGCGACACTACCAGGGTGGTTAGATGCCCTAGGGCGGATCATGCGAGCTAACAAAACCTCATATGGAAACCAGCTGGATATGTAACGTATGTACTATCTACAGATTAGAGCGAGCGTGCGCCTCCCATGCACGAACAACAAACTACCGCCTAGTTTTTCGCCAGTAATTATTGCAGGCCCAAACATGTGCTTTGTAAATTCAAAAACGCCATGCCCTTTACGAAAAACAGAGTCGTGAAATCGTAACATCGTCATCGCCAAAACGCCGAAATTCAGGCAACCAAAAACGTATAGCTCAATACCGTCCGACAGAGACTTCACCAACAAAACTGGGATGCAGCTCGATCTCGTCGGGCGGCGTGTCTGGTGCCAGCCCACCTTGTGCGCTCAATCTTCTGCCCGCTAGACTTCCGGCGACGCTTGCGCTACCTGATCGGCCACCGTCGAATCTCATTCTTTTGCTGCTGCGGTCCATGACCTCAAGTTCCTCTCTTAGGTTACCGACTTCTTCTTCTTTTTCCTTCCACAATGCAAGCACGGCCTGCCTCTCCTCATGTAATCGTGCCTCTTCGGCTTCCTTCTCTTTCCTGATAAGTTCAAGCACCGCATCTCGCCCCGCCTTCGCCGCAGCCTCATCCTGCATGCTTGTGCCCGTTGAGCAGCCAATCGCGCCAAGTATGTCGCCCTCTACTGACAGAATGGGTACGCCACCACCAAGTGTAGTGAAGCGTCCTGAAATAGCATTGCCAATGCCAGATGTAGCGCTGCCCGGCCATGGTGTTTCTTGGTATGCGGAGGTGGGGATTCGATTTCCGGCGGCGGTAAAAGCCATGTCCATGGCAGTATTTATGGAGGTAATTTTGGCGCCATCCATGCGTGTGAACGACAGGAGATGAGTGTGCGCGTCAACCACGGCGATGCTCCTGATCGGTGGTCAGCTCTACTCCGCACAAGTCATGTGTTTAGTGAAAAAGAGGGGTCATACATTGGCACACCAACTTCAATGGCATGTTGCTCTGCTGCTTGCAGGGCGACTCGCGCACCGCTTTGGGTCAGTGTAGGTAACGCTGCTGTCGCTGAAGCCGTTGGTGCCATGTTGAAGTATGAATTGCGCATTAAACCGGAAGGCGGAGGAAACAAGTCTGAGGAACCACAAGTAGTAAGAGAAATCAAGGCCGTCCGAAAAACAGCCGCGGTCTCGTGTCCCCCAGCTCTTTAGTACATCCCAGAGAGCGGGTATGCGGCTAGACTATTGCAGATTGGTATGTCTTTTCAGGCAGGCCAATCTCCTGAAGGATCAAGAAAGAGTTATTCAACGATAAGCAGCCCGTGGCGACTGTAACTAACGAAATCCTGACTAGAAGGGCCGCGGATTCACCAGACAGAAGTGGAGTAAACGGGCGATAGGCACCAAGCTCGCCTTACCCCAGGTTAAGGGTCTCAAGACCGGGACTGCTGGTGCCATGTTCTGGTACTTTGTCAATGTTTATTCGACACGGATGCACAGTGCCGTGTGGAGAGATTTTTTGTGGGCGGGTTAACATACCCCAATTAGGCAAGCAATATGCGATGTGGACTGATGCACTGGGGTCTCCGATCTCTAGGGCTGGGCAAGACCACGTTAACAATGCTAATAGAAATACCTCATGGCAAAACAGGTATCGCTGTTATTCTCTGGTATACGCGAAAAGGATGCTGAGCCCTGGGGGCGTCAATCACCCTCGCTAGGGGTGCTTGTGTCCATGGGCGGGGGGCATGATGTGACTGGATGTTGTGACAAAGTTGAGAGCCTCATGTCTACGAGATCGACAAGGCTGCGCAAGGTGAAGCCGATCATGAGTCTGCCGTCATCGTGCAGCTTGATGTGTGGTGTTGTGGTGTCGTGTGATGGTTCCAACGCGAATCGCGCTGGGGTGCACGATTCAACGCTAGTCCAGAATGGGGCCTAGCACCATGTGGAGAAATCCTTCGCTCCTTCGTCGACTTATGCCGCCTTCACTTTCGCATGCAGCTTAACTTCTGAATGCTGAATCACATTCGAATGGGTATCTGGTCCTACACCGCTCAGGTTCGGAGGTGCCAGAATACGTTGGTTCGTGCGAGAAACCCCAGGTTCACTCTTGATATCTCCATCTGCCTTACACTCCACATATCGCGTCTACTGCAAACTAGCTAGCAGTGAAATTAACAAGACTGTTTACTGAAACATCTTTGTTATGTTGGTTTGGGTCGCAAACGACCGGCTGCACCCATCATCCCCGGCCAAACCCCGTATCGCTAGTAAACTATGGCTTGTCAAAGACTTCAAGATACGATGTATAAACAACTGGTGAAAAAGGAAGATCATCGACCCAAACAGGTCACCATGGGTGATTGTGCGAGCTTCCCGTCACCTAACATTCACTTTGTTATTGTTCAACATGGGGTCTATTCACCGTCACTTTGTTTCTCATTCTGTTGTTTTCCCTATTGTTCGTGAGACATTGTGCTCCGCGCTCTCTTTGTCAAATACCAGACAACAAGTCTCAGACACTTACATGCCTTTTGCAAAATCATCACATCTGCACCATCATACACAAATCGACGTAGCTTCTTTTGAACGTACAACCCTATTTGAGCAAGACCACGTGTCACCACATACATTTCCCTGCCGAAATCACGACATAGGAAGAGCGAAAAATGCTGGGATTCATTCTCCAGAACGATGTATTTTTCGCAACCATCCTTAACATGGTCCTCAGCTTCCCAAGCCTCCGATACTTCTGGGATCCAGCCATAGGTTTGACATTATCTAAGCAATGCGCTTCTATCCCAAGGATAGGGGCAACCCAGACAGCGACCTTGCGCCAGGAACCGACTATGTTGAAGCCTATATCGACCTTGCCCCCGAAGCTGGTTACGTTGGAGCCTTGCTCGACTTTGCGCCCAGAACCGGTTACATTGATGGAAACTGTCACTCTCAAAGTATGTGATACTGTTCAAGATGAACAAGGTACAATATGGACGCACTGTCCAGCTGACTCCGCGGCGCCACTCATAAATCCAGAATACTTTTCTGGCGAGGTAGTGCTGCATGAGACGAAAAGCAAATTTCAAACATGGACCTGCTGGGCGATGTTGTTCCTAACAATTACCATCTTGTGTATGCTATATCTGGCGTTCAGGTCAGGCTTTATAAGCACTGGAGTACCTATAGCTGAACGTCAAACTGAGGAAACGGAGATTGGTCCAGGAGAAGACGAAAAGTCCGAACAGGAATGGGAAACTGAAGCTCGTGATATGATCAACGACCTGAGGAAAAATAGACAAGGAATGCAGCATTTGATGGAAAGCGTTGAGAAGAGGGATGCCATGCTCAAGTGCCTTGGAGTTTTCGATGACAACGATACGACACCAGATGAAGAGAGCCTCGAGAAATCAGTGAAGAACAGGAAGGAGTCACTCGAAGCTAATGAGAACAGCTTGCGAACGATGCAAGCGGAGATCACAGCTTGTTCGGAGAAGATCAAGGAATTGGAGGCCGAGAAACCAAAAATAGCAGAGGATATCAAGAACCAATGCGATCAGCACTATGCACAAAACGTTATTCCCAAATACCAACGGTCACTCGACGACAAGCAGAATGAGATCAAATACTGGCGCGCCGCGTTCTTCAATAACGAAAAAGACGAGAATATGACGAAGAACTACCGGCTCTGTGAAGAAAAAGAAGCAGAACTGGTGCAGCTCCGTATCTTACCTGCAAAAACCAGCGACTTGGAACAAGCCCTCCGCGATGCTACGAAGCAAATCGAGACTCTCCAGCAGGAAAAGAAAGACCAGGGTATTGCGGATAGAAGGCGGTGGATGCTGGAAAAGGACGACTTGTGCAAGAAACACAACGATGTCACCAAAGCGCTGAGGGTCGAACTCAAGGAAGCTAAGCAGCTGTCGAAACTGGCGAGGGAGACTACGAAACCACAACAAGACAGCAGCGCAGGCAGTACCGCCGGCAAGAAACAGGTCGAGAGCTTGAAGAAAGAGCATGAGGCCATGATGACTGAGGCTTCTGAGCTTCAAAAGCAGATTGACAATATGAACAGCATCTTCGCTGAGGTTGTTCAGGGTTCTGAGAAGCTTAGGGGCGAGCGTGATAGTTTCAGAGAAGCTTTGAAAAAGTTGCATAGGGAGAAGGCGTTTGAAGAGAAGGCAACCGAGAAGAAGGAGTGATATGGGAGTGGAGACTTGCGTCAAATGGTGACTGGTTTCGAAGGGGGTTAGGTTGTATATTGTCATTCTTCCATGGTTTGGGGAGTTTTCGGCGGCACTAAAAATAAGGGATGTCATAGAACCGGCGTTATTGTATGAAGTTACATCATACAACTAGAGTCACCAAGTAAAACAAAGTAAAATATCTTAACTCGTAACAAAAATGATGTCCTCTCAGTACAAGGACACACAACTTTCCCACTCAACAAGTTGTCTTCCCAAAATCATGAAACCTCAGATCGGTGCCACAGAAATGCCCATTGGTATGAAAACCAACAGGTATAACGTCCATCCACTCGTAACGGAACAACCGCCGTAACAGAACGAACTACAGGTACTTTGATTTTGATGCAATAGAAAGCTTGTGTGCGTCTTTTTTTTTCTAGGGATATTTCTCTCTAGTAGTACCCGAAAGCTACTTCTGAACTTCTTCAATTCTAGCGATACATAAATTAAGCTCGCATAGATGCTCAGAGATTGTTTTTATGACCAAAATGAGCCATGCCCGATATAGGGCCACCACATAGCATTTGTTGTCATCGCAACTTATACAGCACCCTCATATAAGTCTAGGAATCTAATAGCACTGCTAAGGATGTATGTTTCACTGCAGGGTTACAAGTAGCGCTCTGTTTATGCAGAGTTTAACACCCTGTCGGTACTTCCACGCTCGGTTGCTAACTAATCAAAGCTATCGCTGACTCTCGCTTAGGCTACTATGCACGTCCATCACTTACCCTGTAACTTACTTAGTCAATAGATAGCTTACTGCATCTCCAAGTATGATTCTTATTTTTAAAGTTTAGAATACGTTTTACATACACTAAAATAACCATCGCCTGCATTCCGAAATTTTTGACAGCGATAGGAACCAGCTAAATGGAGTTGAAGTTGGCGATTTATTCGAAATTGTCACCAACTTGAAAATGCAATTAAGGCATGACTTGGGCTGATATTTAGCTTGAAACTCTGAGAGAAGCTTTGCGAGGCTCTAGAATAATTTATGACGCTTAAAAACCTACTTGCAATTTTGATTGTGTTAGGTTGTGTGGATGCAAAGCAATTCGGTACTTGGGCGGCAGACAAATCTCAAAAACGGTGGGACGATATCACGCCAGCCTTTACGAGGTACTACTTTACTCGAACCTTACTTACCCCAGGCTGCGCGCACGGGCATGGTGACAGATCCTCGGCACCTCGCGTGTCTACTAATGCCGACCTCCGTATTCCAAACTACTCAGTCTTCGGGTATAGCTAACGCGAGAGTGATGGCGCCTACCAGAAGCAAGCGCCTATGAGTAGACTGTGAGAACGAGGCCAGCGCTTTGCAATACCCTAACTGCCTCAAGTCGGGCGTGCACGACAGTTTCTTGAAGAATTGGGTTGGCTATTCCTCACTTGTACCATGTACAATATGCTACCGCGTAACAAGCTAGACTCATCCTATAAGCGTCCATAAAAAAGGCGCATACGGCAACATGCAGCCTTTCCATTTACGGGGCTTGTTCGGCCGTCGATTCACTTTCCCCAAGAGGAGCCGCCCCCAGGTCCATCAAGGGCCCAGAATGATGTGAGGCAGGCATTCCAGGGGTCGAATAGTGCTTGGATTGCTCCAAGGTCAGCCTTTTCGGCTCCAAAAGCCGAGAGGCAATAGGCAGGGTAGAGAAGCGGACGACGTTTCAAGCGTTACGCTTTTTTTGAGACGAGCATGTACACCGATGGAGAAACTATATGCACCATTCGTTTGTCGCTTGGGAGATGAAGGCCTGATGATCTGATATAAACGGCTACTGTGTAGCTGCTGTACTAGATACCGCGAATCATTGATAGTATTGAACATTACAGAGCATAATGTGAACTACGTGAAGAAGGTAGTAGCAATTGTGATAGTACATTTCAATCTACATAATCCATGTGTCATGAATTCCTTTGCATGATTTCTGTAGCTTTCTAGCCACCGGATTCAGTAGTGCGGCTACTATATTTGCGGCCACACCGTTCTTTCTCGAGTAAGCGTAGAACTTAGGGCAGTGTTTTCGATTGTCAACTCACGGACTAGTAATTGCAGCAATGCCAGCCATCACTCAGCTGATGACAGTCCACAGAGAAGCAAAGACCCTTGCAGTTACTATACGTAGAGAACGCCCCAGGCTCGCAAGCGTTTGCTCTCTTGTCTTGCGGCATTCCAGCGACGAAGACTGTCGCGTAAGCGGCTAGGAAGATAATCGATGCTGAAAAGGTCTTCATGCTGCAATCTACTTAGTGTACGGCTGATGTGTAAGCTCTATGTACTTACGCTGTTGATTGCTCTTTCTTATCAAGCTTGGAGTAGTAAAGATATGTCTTGTTGGATATCCGTGTATTGTCTGGAATATTTTGGGGTTTATATATCTTCCATTGCATCAGCTATTCTGATAGATAAACCTCATGAAAAACATCACACGAACATCGCTTAGATCAGCGCTAGGCTGGGTTCAGTAATGAGTCTATTTGCTGACAGCAAAGGTTATTGAACACCCCCATATCAGCTATTCATCACCCCACAAAACAGGGGTCTGCATAAGTGCGACGCTATCTGTAATTTTGTATCTTATACCATAAGGCTCTCTTCTCCCTCCTCTCTCTCATGTGTCTTCCTCTGTTGCCTCTTCTCTTTCTTCTATCTCAAGAGATAATAATTGATTAATAAAAGGAAAAAGAAGAAAAGAGAGCGAGAAGAGAGAGAGAGGAAGAAGAAGAGAAGGAGGAAGAGGAAAAGGAAGAAGAAGAGAAAGAGATAGACAAGTTAGACAAAAAGGCAGACAGAGGTGTATTTTCTCCCTTTTGGTTTTCCTCGTAAAAAAGTAGAGATTTAGTTAGATTTCACGATGAGTAGAGGGACCCTGCTTGTAGGGGTAATGAATAGCTCATTTGGAGGTAGTCAATAGCCTTTGCCTTTGCCTTCGTGACGTCTCCTGTCCGCGCAATCCGCAAGGTGAGAAAGAGTAAGCAATATAGGCTTTCTCTACTTGTGAGTAGACCCTTTTCCCTAGCTTAGTGAGACAACGTTACGAGTTTCACGTATAAAGCACCGCCCAAACGCCGAACTGGCGGACGGATTAACGCATGAAATTTAGACATGTAAATATTGATTATGAAAACAGCCCGCTATCCTGCTACCTTTATGGGTGTTGTGAAGCTAAATTCGGTGGACAAGTAAATTTTGGAGACTAACGGAGATGTTGTGCACAAAGGGTGCGATGACGAGACTGAGCTCAATTTGATGACGCCCGCGGAGGTTATGCCCGCTCTGTAGAAAAGTATAAGGATAGTGCTGACCGGAATTGGTTTCCAGCTCTGACCTATTGTTTGTTCTCAGTGCACAGTACACCTCTCCCCGCATCACTTAATATAACCGTGCGGTCCCTGCACGGTGCTAGCGTCTATGTGGTAAGTACCTTACAAAGCGGTCGTACCCTGTGAACAAACGATGTACGTGGACCGGAAACCGATTTCCGACCACTGTAATACGAACTCGGCGCTAGTTTTCATCATCTGTCTACGACATTGGAGTAAGGCGAAGCAAGGCGAGGCCGCAACGGTGAAGGCAGCTTGTGTTCATCGTAAAAGTCCAGCACTAGTATTCTTTCCAAGATTCAGGTTAGCCAATTTTTTGTCTGGTTTCGTTCTTTGTTTGCGGTAATGTTTTTTGGTGCAGCGCGCGTCTTTATGCATAGAGTACTCATAGTATACAACAGTAATGTGAACATACGACATTCTTCAACACCAGATTTCTACTTACTGATTCTGAGAAGAGAGAAAGCCGATATGCCTATGATGGAAACACTCCTGCCATGTGACACACACTGAGCGCATGGCTAGATACATCTGTCACTTTTCTGGTTTTTCTCGCAACCCTAATGGCTTTCGCATTTGGTGTCATCCTTGTCGAGTGGAAGGGAGGTGAAAACATACGGCTTACGCTTGGCGAAGCTGTTCAAGACCTTATCTTTGCAAGAGCTTCCCTGAACAAGGACTTTGTCAATAGGACCAGGAATGGGACATGTGTGGATCGTGTTGTTTTGGTTCTACGGAAAGAGCAAAATATGTACGAAGGCGCGACATGTGCACTAAAACTAGAACGTGCTACTACTAGCGTGAGAAGGAAGATGGGATGAGAACTTGGCTGTTAAGATTTGTCCTCACGTTTTTGAGATTTGTTTCCCGCGCTAGTCAAGTGTGTACTAGCGCAAGCGTAAATTATAGTAGCCAATGCATTCACCGTTCAACCTTTTAGAAGAAGGTTAAAGCTAAATTGTCTATATTGTGAACTTGTCAGCTACTATTCTCGTCCCTTCTTATGCGGGCCAAGGCTCTTTCAGACCTCACGAGCTGCCACCGTTACAGCACATTTGGGCCGCGGTATTCCGGGGTTAGTTCTAAAGGGTGAAGGATGTTGTGGCACGATACAAGATCGAGCTCAAAAGATCAAGGGACGACACCCAACCGAGCTGCTAGAGCTGAGCCCAATCTAACCGCTGCAATATAATTGATTGAAGAAAGTGTCTATTTGCTCCGAAAAGAAATACTAATATACATCCGCGCGATACTATACCAAGATATGAAGAAAAGAAAAAAGGTGACCAGAGTGGGTGTGCAGAATTATCAGAGGGGGGCTGTGAAGCTCAACTCAACTCAGCTGGAGGTGGCTGATTGCACAGCCCGCAGTATATCAACGTGGGAAGGCTGGAAGCGAATTCCTAATAGAGCCAACTAGCAGGAAGGGCTACAAATTTGTATCGGCCTGAACCTTGCAATAACTCTTCAATCAACAGAATATATTTTTGCTTGTTCGGCTTTGAATTTGAACCCCCATTGCACCACTGTTACCTTACAGCTGTGAACTCTGGAACCCATTCCAGCCCATCAAGTCTAATGCCCTCGGCCTTCTCACCTCCCTGATTGCCATGATATCCGGGTCGTCAGAAGGACTTACACTTGAATGAATCAACCCATCATCATCGCACAACTGAATCGCTAGTATCTCCAAGGCAATTGGTGGCATACGATCTAGTACTTCACGCTCAACTGGAGTCCTATTTTCGTTTGTTAGCAGCGAAACGCCCATGGCAGAATACAGTAAAGATAGCAAAGGCAGCGCACATCCTTTGATAAAGAATCTCCTTATCCGTCTTCACCTTGAGTATCTCTGCTTGTATTTACTGATCGCTTCGGAGCTGTGATTCGAGATATGCCTTCTCCCATTCGCTCTGGAACACAGTCTTCAGCAGCGCGATTAACTGCGGGAGCAATGCTTTTGGTATGTTAACTTCACATGCGAGGGTTGTTGGATGCTCAGTGTATTTCACAATGAAAACGTCGCCGTAGTAAAAGCGTCTTGAAAAGTCAATGCGATCAAGGCCAAGCATTCGCTTGATGTACTCATTCTCTGGAAGATCAATGTTCTCGTTCCGATAAATCCAACAGTGCCCTTCGATCATTTTAGTGGGTTGATTGTTAACATTGAAGCATCTGAGTTTACGGTCAACATGGTAGGCCGCCCAGTATTCACGAAAGTCAGGCACGATGTGGAGGCCGAGCTCTGGAATCCAGCGTTTGGACTCTGGGGACTGGGCATGATAGGCAATAGGTACCAGTCTGGGCACGCTTCCGTCAGCCGGTATCCGAAGTACCCGAACCGTCTTCAGTTTCGGACCAAAGGTGTCGCCATCTTCATCTAGTTTTTCTGCTGGCGTGCATGCGGTCTTGTTTCGTTTATGGGCGAGATACTCAAGCTTCAGCTTAGATGGAATTGCACCAGGTAATGCGCCTGCCTCAGACATACCAACTGAAGACTCTGCTATAGCTGGTTGGATTACTACTAAACCGGCAGAGAGAACTTGAAGGATGTAGCTGTGGGTTTGTATTAGTGCTGCAGCTATAGATATACCAATGCCTGGTGGTGCAGAAGCCGGGATAGATGGTAGTGTCCACAGCGGGCACACCTTTCCGTGAGACGTCCGAGCACGAAAAGCTGAGGTACGTATGCCGTCCACGGAAAGTCTGACATAATTTCTGAGAAGTTCGTTACATAAGAAGCATGGTTTCTTGCTGGTTCCGATGTAACCATGGACTCTTTGCTGCCACTTTAACTCAGATTCCAGATCTACAAGGATTTGCATCTCCGCATGAACATGCAACCACGATGCATTATAGTAGCGTTGAGCATGGCTACCTTTCGCGAGCTGCTTACGGTGAACTTTCTTGGCTAAGCTTTGCACCTGCTTGCAGAACCTGCTTGCTTCAATGCCGACTTTGTGGGGAGACTCCACCGACTTCCACTCAAGAGATCTAAACTCGGGAAAACTGAGCGCAGTCGTCTTGAAGCACTCATACGCAGCACGGAGCCGGCTGAGCATTAAGACCGCCTCGGAGATTTTGGCGAAGGACGGTTCCTTGAGTTGATGTGAGTCAGCGCACCGCAGCTCATAGGCCAAGTCCACTGCTTCCCTAAGGGAAAGGATGCTTGGACTGTTGCTATATGTTCCACAGAGCTGGAGGAGGCGTTGAATCTGCACAGTCGATGGGTCGTCAACATCTAGTCCCGAGACATCGACTTTGCATTGGCTGATTTGAGAAACATAGAGCTCCAACCTGAAACGGGCGTACCCGATAAGTCCTTCTTTGTCTGCTCGACTATCTCAAAGAAAGTCTTTCTCTTTTGAAGGAGCTCTACCCGTCATCGATATCGCGCTCAGCCAAGTCTGTAATTGCCCTAACAGTTTGCGATCGCGCTCATCAAGGCCATCGTTCTTAGCCAAAAGAATCGTTGTTGGATAGTCACAGCTGAGATTGATCCAAACTGCAGCAGCTACGTGCTTTACAGTGGATTGTTTAGGGTATAAGTTGGAGGTCTTTTCGCGCGCAAGCAATTCTGAGAGTCGATCGAGGGATTTGTCTTTGAGAGCATTCCCAGTGGCTCGGTGAAGCTTTTCGCAAGCCACTGTCGTTTGCCAGTCATCGTCGATATCCTCTTCATTTGAACTATCATCGTCGTCTTCAGGAAGCACAGGGGTAGGCTCGCGAATAGATTGCTGTTTCGTGTACATAGCAAACAGTGCTGCTGTGGCCGCGAACCTTTCCTCCTCGATGCGTGCAAGGTACCAGATATTGCTCATCATTGACAATGCTAGTGCTAAGATGCAGGATGGTAAGGCTGAATGTCGACTGCGGTTCACAAACAAATGGTCTGCACGAATTTGCCTTAGATTGGGGGCATGTGGAGTGTGAACCTTGACGGGCGGCTAGATATAAGTGGTGTGGGAAAGGCGATATACTAGAGCCCAACTGCGCGCGAATGAGTCCGCTTAGCTAATGTGAGGTGCAGATACATTGTGGCAGTTGAGGTGATGAGTTGGCAGCAAGCGATAATGGTGGCTGTTATTGGCTGCCTGTTGGCTGTACTACGTACATTCTTCTGTGTTCAAGCCCCGCCCACGGCGCTTAGCAGTACGTAGTACTCAACCTGTATCGCACTCTCATACAATAGCATTTCATAATCATGATTACACAAAGTGCAATAGTGTCTCATGAAATTTCTATTTTATTTGCTCTACTTTTCTAGAAAGAAGGAAAAGTATTAATACACCTGTAAGAGAGCCATATGGCATTCTAATCAATACATCATCATTAATTCCTACCATCTAGTCGCAAATATATCTAAGCACTATAGTCTGATATCACTGCAATATCCAAAGCCATAGCTAGAGGTCTAACCGTTGAGTCCTGCAAGTTTAATTCCCCAATTTCTCAGCGATAATGTCCTCAGACAACTTCCATAGCCTTTCAGCCTTCTCCTGATCCACCGCCCACGCAACCGGCTCCACAAGCTGATTATCCTCCAACCACACCCCTTTCTCAGGATTCAATCCAGGGTCTGCAGCCGCAAGCAAAATCGTCGAACTCCCCTGATCAATAGTCTTCGTGAATAGCTTGTCAAATGCCGGCACAGCCTTGATTATTGCTAATGCTGCTGAACTTCTCACCCTTCCCGGATGAAGCGAGAACGAAAAGATCCCTTCTTTGGCAAACAACTTGTTGAGGTGAACCGCGAGAAGCAAAGCGGCGGTCTTGCTCTGCCCATACGCAACATAGGCATCGAATTTATCGGTTGCAGGGATTCCGACCACACTAGTGATGAGGTCCCAGTTGGGCTTCTCGTCGTCGGGGAGTTCCTTGTTGAGGTCGAAGTTCCAGTCGCTGAAGCGGAAGGGGCTGTAGTGGGAGGCCTCACTGCTCACAGGAATGATGCGCGTTGCGCCAGGAGGGTTTACCTTGGCGGCGGCAAGTAGTCGTGGGAGGAGCATCTTGGTGAAGAGAAAGTGACCCAGGTAGTTGGCCGCGAGATGCGTCTCGATGCCGTCGACTGTTAGTTGACGCTCGGCGTTCCCGAATTGGCTGCCAGCATTTTCGACGAGGATGTCGATTTTCTCAATGGATTTTTCATTAAGGATGTCGTTCGCGGCGCGCTGGACGTCTTTGAGGGAGGCAAGATCAAGAACGACATTGAAGAACTTTGTAGATGGGTAATCCGCCGAGATTTCTTTAGTCAGGCTTTCAACTCGGGCTTTGCTGCGCCCAGTTGCGATGATGAGAGATGCACCTCCATGGGCAAATGCGCGAGCAGTAGCCTCGCCAATGCCTCCAGGTGAGACACCAGTAATGAGAATTGTTTTGCCAGTAATTTGGGATGAGTAGGCTTTGGCGATTTCCAAACCGCCGATTTCTGCGGTGAAAGACTTGCTGGTAGCCATGGTTATCTAATTGATAGATGCAGGAATTTGTTGGAAAGAGTTTTTTTGTTCTTGATGGTAATGAATTGAAGCTATTGATACGATTATTTTGGAAGAAACTCCATATCCTTTATACATGCACTCTGATCCCAAAGGTGGTGCCCAGCCGGATCCATGACATGACTGAAGCATTGAGATGAGAAGTCCGTCTTCGCTGTGTATTCTGACCAGATTCCCCGAATGTCATCAGTATGAAACCCACATTGTTGACGCGCAACGTACGAATCCTACACCACTTAGAAATCCGCTTATTAATTTTGATAGATTTATCGCAGTTCGGCCTGATTGATTTCCCGTTTCTTTTCTGACCAAGAATTGCACATTGGGAAAACGGGCCAAATATACGCGCGTTGAGGAAAATGGACGAAAACCGGCGCATGAGAAAACTGCGAAATAGCGGCGTAACCCACATCCCATGAACAACCTCCCACGTTAACACTAAGTTTTACGCGTTGTGAGTAGGCCCCTGCGATTTAACTTACTTCTTGGAGTAATTGCTAGACTTTGTTCAGACCCTAAATCACGTGTAAGCCAAGCTTGTCGAGGTCGGCCGATCATGAGGAGCGTTTCTGGTAAGGCGGCTAACGTTAAGTTTTCCTTCTAAGTAACTAATCAACCAACGTCACTTGGGTTCGACTTAGATAATTATTACTGCGAGACAAATGTCTACATGTCTCTAATGTGCAGAGGTCCAGTTCAGAGAGTTTGTCTAACGGTAATCTTGGCGCTTCAGTGCAACTCTTCTTAGCGTAACCTGGCTCGGGTCCACTTAGGCAATCACATGTCTCAAAAGGTACAGTATACTGCATAGCAGTATCTGACAGCCGAATAGCTATATACGTGTGATAGTAAGGCAGGCATTATAGTAGAGCAGCAGCTACAGAATCGACGCACGCTGAGCCTGACGTTATGTAGTGGCGCTGTGCTGGGATCGAAGGTTAGAAGGAAAAGCGTCCTGTCGCACAGGGTGTCCCACAACGCAGGAGCGGATGGTATTCTATCTCTATTCAGCGCTAGCTAAGGATAAGCATACTAAGACCAACTAGATAATTGTAGTACGAGGCACAGGCCCCCAAGTATCTACCGCCCACTTGCGCGGAAACACCATCCAGCCTAACACCAAAAGAACCACAAGCACCTCCAGGCTCTACTTGACCTTCAGTATGGATACTAATGAAACCCATACTTATTCGGCATTTGCAGATCTTCTGGCAGAATCTTCACGGGTTCTATGCCTCGTCGGTGCTGGACTCAGCGCACCATCTGGCCTAGCCACCTGGCGTGGAACAAACGGGCTATGGAATGATATCAATCTGAAAGAACTTGCCTCGCCCAAAAAGTTCCGAGAAGACCCAGTTACGACGTGGAGCTTTTACGGCGAGCGTTCACTCGAGGCGTTGCAAGCGAGGCCAAATGCTGCACATCATGCGTTGGCGGCGCTTGCTAATTGGCATCAAGGATGGCTGACTATTAATCAGAATGTTGATGGTACGGAGAGTAGCGTAGAAGAAACGATCGGCTAGATGCGCTAATAAGAGTTCAGGGCTTCTTAAGCAAACCGGTCATCCCATGTCAAGACTACTGAACATTCACGGTACATTAAGAGTTGTCCGATGTACTACATGCGATTACTCTATGAACATCTATAAGTCGGAAGACGTTCCATTCCTGCTTTCACTATCTAATACTGATCATGAAGCACGTCCAGTCGTGTTATCTGATCTTCCCCATTGCCCCCAGTGTGCAAATCTATTGCGCCCAGGAGTTGTTTGGTTTGGCGAGAGACTTGCTGCTGGCGCGCCAGATAGTGTTGATGAGTGGATGTCAGAAGAACATGTTGATTTAATGATTGCGGCTGGGACTAGTTTGCAAGTTTTCCCAGCTGCAGAGTGGGTAAGCACCGCGCGAGCGTATGGAGCATCTTTGGCTGTTATAGATGCGGGAGACTATGGAATAGTGGATGATTTCGATGAAGGTGACTGGCTCTTCAAAGGTGATATCGGGTTTGTTCTTCCTCAAATAGTCGATATTCTCAATTCATGAGTCCATGAAAGAAAATCTTGTTGATTATAAGGCTTTTTACACAGTATCATTCCACCATCGTAAATGTTGTTGCAAGTGGTTCCTCACCGATGACGGGACCAAAGGAGAGAGTATCGCTTTAATGCCCTGCCCTTTCTGTCAGAGCTAATAAGCAGCTTCCCGATGGTAGTACTACATGATCTTCATAGTTCATTTATTATACTAATCTCTCTACTGATTGAGAAGTTACATAAGAGAAATGTTCTACATCTAGAAATCAAGGGATATTCATCACGAAATAAAAAACACAAAAGAGAAAAAAAAGAGTCATCACCCTCATCTCCACACCATCAATCCAACCCCCTCCAACTCATCTTCCTCAACTTCGGCCCATAAAACCACAACCCAACAGGCCCCACTAACCCAAGTCCCAGCGTCAAAAACGCCAACAAACTATTTCCCCATCCCAACCCCATGCTCTCATACATCTGCGGCGCAAACAGCGGAAAGCTAAATCCGCACATGGTCCGCATAAACGCCCCCACGCTCGCCGCCGACGCCGCATACCGTGCTTCATACGCATCAGTTGTATACGCCTGGCTACACTGGAACCCAATGATGAGACCCACAGCCACAATCGCAGCACCGATGTTCGGTACGATCCAGTGGACGTGATAGTGTGCCGTCCAACCGTATACGAAGAGCCCAATGGGACACAATATGCCTGCGATGAGCATGGGTGGGACGCGGAATTCAGGGAGGCCTTCGGTGAGGTTGTAGTAGGATTTCATGCGAGCATACAACTAGTGTTATCGTCAGCGCCTGCTCAGCCCACTATGTGAAGAAGCGAAAGAAAGAGGGGAGAAACCTACCCCGTCCATAAGCGGATGCGAAATTTGTAATCCCACCATAAACCCCAAACAAAGCGAGAGGTAGTTCAAGGATGCGTTTCCAACGCTCATATCATACGCTTCTTCAAACACCAGTGGAAACGTCGACAGCATAAGGTACATAACCCCATACAAAAACGCCCGATACACCGACGGCGCCTGCGTCGCCGGATGCGTAAACATCATTATAAACGGCAATACCAACCTCTTCCTCAAAATCCTACTCATACGATCTCCCGTCTCGAACTCCGTGCGTACAACCGCACCTTTATCAGCCATATTTCTCCGAATCGCTTTTGCCTTCTTAGCAAGGATAGCAGGGGCAAAAGTCTCAGCGAGGAAGAACAGCGCGGTGAGCTGCACAAAGACAGTAAAGATAGACGTAGCATAGAAAATCCAGCGCCAGCTCGCCCCCGTCGAGATATACGCGCCGCAAATGGGTGCAATGCACGGTGCAAGCCAGGTAAGAATCCCATAAATAGCCTGACCCTTTCCGCGCTCTTCTTTGCGCCAGGTATCTGCTAGCACACCACTACACAACTATTATCCCCATCAGCAAAAGCTCCCTCTCACATTACAAACTTCTTCTACAAGTACTTGGAAAAAGAGAAAGAGAGAAAAAAAGAAAAAAAACGTACAGCCTGCGGCGCCGCACCCCCCAACCCACTCAAAAACCTAAACGCAAGCATCTGCGGCCCCGATCGCGCAAACCCACAACACGTATTGAAAACGAGGTAAACTAGATTTGCCCACTGTAGTACTGTAACGCGGCCGTAGATTTCGCTCAAGGGGGCGAGTACAAAGGGGCCTTGGGCGTAGCCCAGCAGGAAAATAGTCATGACGAGTTGGCGTTGAAACCCTTCTTCAATGTTGAAGTCTTGGCCGATGGCAGGTAAGGCGGGTGTTACCATTGTGGAGGAAAAGGGTGAGATGAAGGTGAAGAGGGAGACGAGGATGGTGGTTGTCCATTTTTGGCGGCTGGACCAGTTTAGGGGGTTGGAGGGGTCGGAGGGGCTGTCCCAGGTGACCTGGGGTGTTGAGTTAGTGTGTGTGTGTGTGTTTGTTGATTGATAGATAGATGTGGAACGTACAATCACCTCCCTGCGTTTGATGTTATCTTCCTCTTCGATTAGATGGCCGGCGTCGTAGCGTGTGTTCGGGTCTTCGTGCTGATTCCACTGTCGGAATAACCGCTCTGTGCTTAAGATTGAATGGTCGCTACGTTCAAAAGACCATCTGGGTAGTACGAGGGTATCTTTTGATTCGTCTGAATCGACAGAAGGTCTTCTGAGTAGCTTGTCTTTGAGTCCCATGACTAGTAGTAGTAGTAGTAGCGAACGACAAGGTGAAACGAATGTTGGATTGCGTGGAGATGATGACAGGATCTACAAATCTGATGCCTCCCTGCTCAGCATATAATAAACATTCATCCCAACCTTGCCCATTGCACAACTATTTCATTACACTATAAGTTCTGAGGCAGTGTAACAAGGCATGTGGTCGTTCCCCTGTACAGCAACAGCCACATACGTCCCAAAGTTGACCGAAAAGCCAGCAAAGACCCCCCTCACCCCCCTTAGCCCGAATGCCAACGCCTCAGGCAAATGCATCAGCCATGATTAGTGCCGGGAAAACCTCAGGCTGTGGTATAGGTAGGCAAAAAAAAATTAAGAATAGAAACATGTCGCGTGAGCGCACAATAGCCAGCAAGGGCTTCAAGTCCACTGCCAGCCAATCGTAATGCTGCGGATACTCCCATGGGGACGGGAGAAGGCGGCAGGTATGTCGTGACAGCCTCATAGAGGACGTCAGCGATACGGGCTGTGTCCAACTACCGTGCCAAGAAGGTACATCTTGGTAGTTTCGCTAAGTTGCTTGGTGAAGGCACGTGAGATTACTGCCATTGGCCCGACGACTACGGTCAAGAAATAAAACTGGAGATGTCAAGAACACTGGTATGCGGGCCAATGCAAGATAGAGGACAAGTCTACCGCTGAGAGGCCAAAGCATCCGCCGTAGATTAGTCTTATGATCTTGGTCAAAAAGGGCTATGTTGTAGTCGTCATTCCTGGCTGTGCTGAACTTGCCATGATAGCTGCAGGACGAAATTGCGGTTTCTCGACCAAGGCGCAAGTTAGTCCGGTCTGAAGTGGCGCTGCTGTGATGTGCTGGTCTTGAGGCTTGAACCAATTCCTTAGGCGTTGCTCGTGTGGTGTGATGCACCAGGAATAGGACCAGCCTGTGGCCTGCATCTTGTGATTTGAGAAGTTGCAACTTCATACCGGCAAGACTCGAGACAAAAGCTATAAGTAAGCCGTGTGCCTGACGAGGAGATGATATCCAGCATCGGATATTCAATTCACTCGCTCTATATCCACGTACTCCAACTCTCGTTGCACAAATAACACTTCCACGATACCCTTTTCTGTTCGCGATACCCCAATTACTTAGCGTTCTACTTCCCTAGTACCCAAAAAATGATTATGAGCCCTCCTGTATCCATGGAGCCCTTCGCTCATGCTGGTTCACCAGCAATTTCAAGGCGTCTGTCTCAAATGCCGCCTCTCCGTTCGCTCAAGACATTCAACTTACCCCCGGAACAAGTGGACGAACTGATGCACCCCGCCTCAGCCGTGTCACAAACTCCCACTTCAGAGATCTTGAAAGGGCACCCACTCCGTGTCCTGATAGCCCCATCAGGTTTCAAGGAAAGTTTGGGCCCAGAACAGGTTGCTGATGCTATCGAATCAGGCATCACCAAGGTCCTGGACAAGAGTTCCGTCATACTGCGCAAGTTACCTCTGCACGATGGCGGAGAAGGCTTTGCAAAGGCACTAGTGGCGAGTCACAATGGTAGCATCATTGAGGAGTCAGTCTTGGGTCCTGTCGGAGAACCTGTCGATTCTCACATAGGCTTCATTGGTACCAATAAGGAGACGGCCGTATTAGACATGGCCGCTGCAGCAGGCCTCCGTCTTGTCCCCAAGCATTTGCGCGACCCAACCGTAACTACTACCTTTGGTGTCGGACAATTGATGAAAATGGCACTTGATGCAAGATGCACCAAGATCATCATTGGGTGTGGGGACTCGGGTACATCTGATGGTGGAGCCGGTATGCTCCAGGCGCTCGGTGTCCGTCTTATAGATGTAGACGGCAATGACTTGCCCATGGCAGGTGGTGGTCGTTCCTTGTCTCGTCTAGCCAGCCTGGACTGGAGCGGTATCCACCCTCGTTTGCGTGAAGATTCCTGTAAGTACATACTTCAACCCCCGAACACGAACAGACAACTAATTCAGCAATAGCCGACAAGGCTCAGATAGAGGCTGTGTGCAATATCAAGAACGTACTCTGTGGTCCCAAAGGCGTCGCGCGAGTTTACGGACCGCAAAAGGGCGCTACGCCTGCCCAAGTCGACTTGCTGGCAGCAGCGCTCGAGCGTTTAGCCCGAGTGGCTCATACAAAACTGGAAAAGGACATTTCCCATAGCCCAGGGAGTGGTGCAAGTGGCGGCCTTGGAGCAGCCTTGATGCTGCTTGGCGCTCAGCTTCGAGCGCGTGGCGAGGCTATCAACGAGTACTTTGAAATTGATCGTGTTCTAGATCAGCAATGGGACTTTGTTATTACCGCCGAGGGAAGCCTGGACTTCCAGTCACCAAATGGGAAGGTTGGTCGATATTCATTCTTGTGGCGTTTGAAAACTGGCTGATAGCAATAGATGACGACAGAGATCGCCCGCCGGGCAAGGCGGAACGGTGCGCAGGTGGTTGCATTGGCTGGCACGATTGGAGAAGGAGCAGACGGTTGCTACGGTGCTGGTATCAAAGCATTCACAAGTATTCTGAGAGGCCCCTTGTCGCTAGATGAGGCAATTGTGCAGACGGAGGCTTTGGTCAAGGATGGTGCTGAGAAGGTGATGCGCATGATACTGGTGGGATTGGCCCTTGGGCGAGGTCGGTGAGGGAGGTGTTCTTGGTGCACTGCCATGATCAAGGGTATTGGCGGCTTGGTATGACCGAAATGCGATGACGTGTCGCGTTTTGCTACCAGTACTGCGTATCTCTTTCCATGTTTGATTGATGCAAGTCTGGTGGTGTAAATAGGAAGTGTGTGGTTAGAAAGATGCCCCGTATTTTGTTTAAACCAATTCATACTAGCTTCAACCCCATATCATAACAAGCCTGCGCAGCAGCAAAATCATTGCCCTATCAGTTTATACCTATTTTATATATAATATATGTGCATAATGATGTGAAGTTAGTCGTTGTATCCCGCCCGTTTTGTTTCCAGATGCCCCATTATACTATCCAGTCTTGCGGACTCCTCAGGCCCTTCTGTACATCAACGCCCTCCGTCTCCTTCGCCTTCTCATTCACACTTTCCACTTCGAAACCTGCAACCTTTTTGTATACTCTGCCAATTTCCTCAAGTTCATCTTTAGGGATAACATCGTAGACGTTCTTGAATCCATCCGGCGCTCTTTCCTCTGCCAATTGCAGCACGTGATCTGGTCCGTTGGCGCGATTCGCCATGACAATCTTGGATGTTGGTGGGAGTCGTTCAAGCTCATACGCCTTGAGCGCACCCTGAATATCCGAGGTGTTGGATGAAAGGTGTTTGGCGAGCGTCTCGGCGTCAATGATGGCTTGGGACGCGCCGTTGGAGCCAATGGGGTACATGGCGTGTGCTGCGTCACCGAGAAGTGTGAGGCGACCAAAAGACCATGCCTCGACTGGATCGCGGTCTGACATGGGAAACTCAAATACCTTCTCCGTATTGTCAATGAGATCTTTCATCTCTAGACCTCCGCATCTCCATGACTCAAAGGGTCCTGCGAAAATATCCTTTTTCACGGCTTTGGTCCAGTCCGTCTTGGGTGGCGTGAGATCCAGATCGTCTTTGGCGCGTATTCTAAGCTCTGCAATCCAGTTGACCATACTCTTGCCCTTGTCGGCAGACCTTTGACTGATGGGATACGCAATGAACTTTTGGTCAGCATGGCCTGCCCAAACCATGCTCGCGCCCGTCAGATACTGGTCGCGCTCGATGCATCCACGCCACAGCATGCGTCCGGAGAACCGGGGTGGTCCCTCATTGGGGTAAAGTATCTTTCGCGCTGTCGAGTTGATACCATCTGCAGCGATTAAAATGTCGCCAGTCACACTCGACATGTCCGCTGGTTCTCCGTCTCTTCTGCGCGAAAAGCGCGCTGTGATACTGTCGTTGTTCTGATCAAAAGCCGTAAAAGCATGATTAATATGGAGCACATCTTCTCCAAGGCGCTCTTTCACCGCACTCAGAAGCAACATCTGAAATTCTCCGCGATGAATCGAGAACTGTGGGACCGCGTACCCTGCGTTACGGCCTCTGGGCTCGCTAAGGATAGAGTCTCCATGTCGGTTGTAAAAGTTTAGCTCTTGTGTTTTGATGCCTGTTTTCTCCAAGGCTTCCAGGAGACCTAGGTTGCGCAGTATCAAGACAGCAGAAGGCTGCACATTGATTCCGACACCTAGCGTTGTAAGAGTCGACGACGCTTCAAAGATCTGAATGTTGTTGAAACCGGCGGAATGGAGCGCTAACGCTGTTGTTAGACCGCCGATACCGGCGCCTGCAATGAGGATTTTCGGTTGCGTCCCTGAGTGCAGAAACGGCATGGTATCAAAATGATCTGGTAAAGTATGTATAAAGAATGGGTAAAAATTGTGTCAAGGTCAAACAAGTCAGCAATGGGTTACGTTCGAATGACTCCCGCCGCGTGCGGAGCCTGCCAGGTACGAGCTTTTTTACTGCCGACGTTAGGTGCCGCGGCTGAATTCCTTAGTGCAGTGTAACACGGGCTGGAATTCACTCCGGTGCGGAGGTAATTTACAGCCATTGGTTCGGTCCGGTCTTACATTGTGCGTTGTGTGGAGTGTGGGGAAGTAAAAACGTTTTCGAGTGACCAGTGGGGCGGAGCAGAAGCCGAGATTGGCCTGTGGTTGCAGTTTACGACTGCTCAATGTCCATAGTATTTTTAGTGAAGAAAGTGAACGGCAGAGGTGCCAGGTTCGAGATTGCGACTTGTTTAATACCATTCACACATTAATTTAGCCCACTGTGATAACCCATTCTGAAGCCTCGAGACGCCCAAACAATGTTAGCCGGGGTTATGGCAGAAGTTAAGGAGCGTAGTCCTCATTGCCCTCTCGGTCAACTCTAACATATTTGACCTTGTCCATACCGTGTGTGAAGCGGAAGTGACCTATAGATAGGCACTTAGCGTTATCTCATAGTACCTGGTCAAGAGATTTACTTACATTTGTCTGCGAATGAGCAGTACCCTGTTTCGCGTTCCTGAGGACACTGGTGTCCCAGATCTAGGACGACAATCTTAGCATAATTGAAACGGCGACTGGGAGGCTATTGAAGCCGCTTGCTACTGGGGCAATACTCACAACAGTCAATGTCTTCGCAATATCTGTTCTTGCAAGGCAAGGTACGTGCTTTATGACGCAAAACATTCAACTCAGCGGCCGGTAGCTTCGGTTCGTGCTGAAAATGGCAAAACTTTCCATTCTCACACTTTCCGTGGAGATGCCTGCGTGCTGTCTTAGCATTGCACATACGGCCGGCATATTGTATCGCGCCTAGTACATACCAGTTGTTACACAAATTTTTGCGCAGCTTCTTCATACGCGCATCGAGCGAAACAATGGCAGCGGAATCTTTTGGAGGAAGCGCCTCGTCCAATCTTTGCTCCGCTTTGTTGTAATAAGCACACTTCTTCTTAGTGTTCTTCTTAGTATTAGGCGCGATCGAGACACTGCCCGTTGGGGGAGCGCCAGTCTTGCCTACAGTGGCTACAAAACATATGTCAGCACTGTCATTCCTCTCTTACAAGAGTATCGCGTAGTGCTCGCGTGATAGTTGTGTGCTTTGGGTAATTCAAGGATGGGACGCGAAGCGTATGCAGCATATTTGCATGAAGTTACTTACCCCAAGATGGGTCTCTATTTGACTCGTCAGGCTCCACAATCGATGTTGAGGCTACGCTAGGCACAGGTGAAGCTACAGATGCTCTTGAAGTAGTAGAAGGCGAATTACTGGGGTTGATAGTAATTGGGCGAACAACGGGCTGTACTGGGGGCTGTGCAGGGGGCTGGGACGGTGCCTGATTAGCACCATTGACCCGCGGATTTTCAGGCAATTGCTCTGCTCTAAACACGTTGTCGAAGCGAGTGCGTCTGAAGTTGGTCAGTGTGTTGAAACCTACGTATGCTGGTGTAGTCTCGAGAAAGGTAATGCGGCTAGCCTTGAGCAAGTTGTGCTTGAAGGGCTCGAAGTTTAAAAGATAGCCTGCATCGTGACAGCCACCGAAGATGATGTGCCGACAGGTAGAATTGTCAATAAAGACGCGGAGCGTTTCTATTATAACCAGTCAGCGGGTGCGGGAGCTAGTAGGATTATAGCCGGTGATACCCTTAATCTTATGGTCGGCTCTTTCCTTGCCGTGACCAACGTCGACGATACTAAACAAAGGTTGATTTACATTGAAATGCTGGACAAAACTTCGTAAATCCGAGGGAGAACGTAGAAGACCGACCGAGGCCAGCTTGATTGCGAGTTTATCGAGACTTAGATAAATCTGGACCACAACAGGCCAGTTGCTTGAGTTGTTGTACAACGAGGCAATGTGATCGCGAATCGCATGATACAAGCGAGAGGCGGCTTCGGAGCCGCCATCACCATCAGCAGCTTGGAGTAGAGCATTTTGAAACTGTACAAAGAGTCTTAGTAGGTGTTTCAACAGGTAGAAACCAGTAGAGCCACAACCGGCGCTAGCATAAGTAGACGGCCTGTGAAAGGCTGCCGCTATAGGTAAGGGGCGAAGTAGTAGGGAGACCCCAGGCATTTTAGTCGCCCTCAAAGCAAGTGCAATAACAAGGTGAATGACAAGGAATTTACTTACAATAGCCCCGTCTCCATCAATTAGAGCCAATACAAAGGAACCCGCATCCTGTTTGGAAAGTGAGAAGGCAACTACTTAGGCAAGGCTGAGGCTCCAACGTACCAGCTGACGTTCGCAGTCGGCCACCAAGGCCAATTTCTCTTCAAGCGTCTTTTGATAATTTCTCCGGTTATCTCTTTCACTCAAGTAGTCACTCTTCAAATCGGAATACTGCTCGGACAAAGCTTCGTATTTGGCTACAAGCTCCTGTTCTCAGAGCTCTCTATTAGTAAGAAAAGAGTAAGGGTGGACACGCGGCCGGGGGCAATGGCGCGACGTACGCTAACAAACTGCTCTCTCGCTTCGTCTGATGCGCGGAACCTCTGCATCTGCTCCTTGAAGCTACCGTAGTGGTTTGGTTCAGACATTCTGGCGCGCACCTAGAATCGTCGTGGTCGATGGCGGTTCAGAATGGGGAAGGCAGCACTGTTCGCGTGTGCGTTTGGGAGGGTGGGCGGCAGTAACGCAAGGGGGACTAGGGTGTTCAGTCAGCCCCTTGACAACCAGAGCCTCGCTTTGCTTGCCCGTGCTGTGGCCAACTGACAAGCAGTTACGTGAGAACAAGGCGCTGGGTGATAAACACTTGAGATACCGGACGGATGCAATGCTGGTGTTTGTGGGTGAGCGTAAGCGCCCATCTATTCCCCAGGTGCGGTGTAACGTACCTCTCAGCATGGCGCAGTCATTTTTCACGCATAAGGGCGGCTGCAGTGGGCTGTGAGCAGAGGCGTAGGCGAGCGTACTCATCTACTTATCGTCCAACGCATACTGCGCGTGTCAGCAGAGACGGTCATGGTGGTCTACTGTCCCTCAAGTTGCCCCGCTGCATGAATCGTTCGTGTAAGCTGGTAAAACTGTCTTGGCTTGATTCTTTGGGGTTTGCTACGTACTAAGCAAGAGGGTGAGGCTGCAGCTGGGAGTCGGCCGCATGAATTGCTAACCGCTCGTGTTACTATTCATGGCATGGAATGTGCTGAGCGCGGCTTGTACATTCGACACGTATGCACGTGTTCAAACGCTGTTCAGGTCTGGATCGGAACATGTCGTCGCATTGTTCGCTTTCCTATATACCTAATCGGTAACGTCCCATGTCCTCACCCACCAAACATTCCCCGCAATGACGCCAGCTACCTATCATGAAGCTCACCAGGAGCCACCAGACTTGGATGCAATGAGAGCATATGGGGCTGCTCCCTGTAGTGCATATAAATATGCCTGGAACCAAGCTGTTGTGCGCTCATCGCATGAGCAACTGAATGCTGCGCGTCCATCTTCGACGTCTCCACTCTGTGCATAGCTTCCTGCAGCTCCCCAAGCATCATTTCCAGACCTTCATTACCCTTCCCCGCTACACATCAACAATGGCAACAACCAAGAAAGCACGTACACACCCGCCATACGAACTACTATATTGGCCAGAGATTCCTGGGCGCGGCGAGTTCATCCGACTGGTCTTTGAGGCAGCACGTGTCTCTTACAAGGACCCCGCCAACGAGCCTGATGGGCGTACGCATACTCTCCAACACCTCACCTGCAGTCCAGGCTAACATTTATTTTGAAACAGCGGGTGCGCAAGTCGTCGTCTCCTTGACCTCGGGCGCAGATGACAACCCACCCGTCTTCGCCCCACCTGCGCTCAAGGTGCCTGGCGAGGGCAAAGATGGTGCTCCTCTGCTCCTCTACCAGACCCCAACCATCCTCTCATATCTCGGCGACAAGCTGGGCCTCGCTGGCGAAGATGAGGTGGACAAAACGATTGTCTTATCCCACGCCCTCACCGCCCTGGACCTCAACAATGAAACCCACGACACCCACCATCCCATAGCCGTGAGCAAGTACTATGAGGACCAAAAGGATGAAGCCCTCAAAAAGGCCACAGAATTCCGCGAGAACCGCATCCCAAAGTTCTTCTCTTTCTTCGAGCGCGTTTTGAAAGCCAATGAGGCTCAAGGACAGGGCAAGTTCCTCGTTGGCAGCAAACTAACCTATGCCGATACCACCCTCTGGCAAGTCCTGAGCGGTCTCAAGTTCGCCTACCCCAATGAGCTGAAAGCCAGAGAGAAGGACTACCCGTTGCTGTTTGGCTCCTTTTACGAAAATGTGGCCGAGACCAATGGGATCAAGGAGTACCTGGCGAGTGAGAGAAGGCTGCCGTTTAGCATGGGAGTCTTTAGGCATTACCCGGAGCTTGACCGGTCTTAGACACACTAGTCACTGCCAAAGCACAGCCATCACACTAAAGAAAATCAATTGCAGTGGTATCTTGAAGAGGCGCCCATTACAGGCTCATGTCATCTCATTCACATTCCTTTTTGATGCCGGTACATGATGCATATCCGAAGCCCTGCCGTACTCCTGAACCATGTAGATATAACGAGACCTTACCCAACAACCCGTCTACACTTAGTAGTCGGTCTGCTGGCTCTGGGGGAACTCGAAGTTGACACCCTTGCCAGTGAGGCGCTTGTAGACCTCGCTGTAGGTGTCGAGCCTGTAGTCGACACCACCACGCTCCTTCTCGTCGAGGACAACCTTGAGGATCTTGCTCCCGTCCTCACGGGTACGGAGACGCTTGCCAACAATCTCGACGGGGTAGACAAGATCGGTAAGGATGGCGTCGTGGACAGCAGTGAGAGTTCGCGACTGGGGACGCTTCTGGGTCTGAGA